AAGCTCTGTAGCTCGGCACATGAAGCTAAGGGGCTCATAGGTGACGATTATGTTAGCTCGACGAAGGGCCGATTTAATGAGTACTTTGAGAAGCTCGGCCTAAAGATGGTCAAGACGCGGATCCTTTTAGTCCACAAACATCCCCCACTATAAAAGGGTACCCAGGTTCTTATTTTTACACAACACACATACACGCGCAAGGATACTTTCTCGCTTCATTATTGCTGAACATGAACTGACTTAAGCGTCAGAGTGTTTTTCGCCGGGACCCTTCTTAGAGTTTTGCAAGTCATTAGAGACGTCAAGACGGTTCAAATCAGCGGATTGTGGTTCAAACCCGATCGAGGGATAATTTACACAACACTTGGAGCATGTTTGGGTATGAAAAATTTTCACAAAATTACCAACATTTTTGTTTGTCCCATTTTTGTTACATTTTTTGTGCTCGTTTCGCTTTTTCTTTTCCTCCATTTTAGGTCGTTTCTTTCATTTTTAGTCTGTTTCGGGTTTTATTATGTGTTTTCCTTCATTTTGAGTCTTTAAGTGTTTTTCGTTTATTTTTCCGATTGTTTTTGTATTTTGTCGTTTTTGGTGTGTAGGTCAGGAGCTTCGGGCGAACTTTATCTTCAGGAAAAATTGGTTTCGAGAGCATAATTGATAGAGGGGTTCGTTAGCGACGCGTAGGAAAAAACGAAACTCAATTCCGAGTTCGGACGAGCCTAAACGAGCCCGAAACATTAAGCCGCACGCAGCAGCCCAATTTTCTTTACCGCGGGCAGCGGAGGAATCTCGCGGCCGCGGAGCCCTTCTGCAGCTGAAATCTCGCAGCCTCGGAGCTTCCCGCGGCCGCGGAGGTCGCGACCAGAATTTTGAAAGCTAGATTTTGTTCATTTATTCGAGTACTTTGCACTGGGACTCGTTCCCAGACCTAAAATAACACCCCCAAACTCGTTTTTCTCCTGATTTTCATCTGAGAAAACACAATTGATCTTGGTTTTCATCTTGATTTCTTTATTGCCTTCGGATTAATCTCGTATCTCGGATTCAACATTCAATACCCTTTTAATCGTAAATTTTTCTATTCATTTAATCCATGAATATGATTGTTGTGATTGTTGAGCTTGATTGTGTTGAATTGAATATGAATAATTAATTCGATTCGCTAGGGATTGGGGATGATGTTTTGAATTCGATTATGATTATCGTGCTTGTTGATCCTTCAATTTATGCGAGTTGTTTTTAAAAGGGTTTTCGGTTATCATACTTGATTGTTGAATGTTGTTGATGAGTGACACCTCAACTTGCAATTGATTTTCAATTGGACATGATTCATTCGGGTTTGATGTTGTTAATTCTTAAAGATTAATCGATTAACCACCTTCTACTCCAATTTAATCGACTCTTAGAACCGAAAGGGGAGGAGTTGATCGATCTAGGCTCGTATAAAATAGGCTTGTTCGTAACTGTATTGCCTATGTGTTAAACGACTCGTGAATTTGCCGTTCACATTTATCCTCTTGTTACGAAAAGTTATTGGGGATGAATCTCTGAACGAGTAGGTTATTCGAATCCTTTAACCGAATGACCACTTGTCCGTTAATTGCATTTCGAATCGAAACAAATATCCCCGACTCTCTAGCTTCTTTATCATTGTTTGTTTCATGTTTTTGAGTTAATTTATGTTTTATGCATTTTATGTTATTTTCTAGTTGACCGCTCAAACCCCAATCTTGATTAGAGTGTTTAGGATTTATTTTGCTTTTGTGTTCGATCAACATCGAATCTAAATTCCGAACCGCCTTCCTTGAGAGATCGACCCGGGGAACGAATCTTTCGATTCGGTACTCGGTAAAAAAAAAAAATTGCTACAACAATTTTAACTCAACCACTTTTTTGAACTCAACCCCACTTTCATCAATATTATAAATATAATTAAATAATATCAATCAATCATTCATACACACCATATCAACCTTAATTCACTATTCATCCACTCACATTATTTTAAGTAATCATCACTTCAATCACCTCTCTCCTAATTTTACATCAAATAAATTTTAATTATTTTATTTTAAATATTATTTTAATATACCCACTAACAACTAACCACACCACCTTTTTCAAAATTAACCAAACCAAACCAAAAAATTCAAACAAAACCAAAAATTTCCATAAACAAACTTTTTTTTTTTCGAAATGATAGAAATTTTATATAAAAACGCACAAATGTGCAAAAGAACAACCACCAGCTGAGTACAAAACAGCCAACGACTGAATACAACCAGCCAACAGCTGCATAAAATGGGAGGACAGGTCAAAAGACCGCGTAGAGCCCGACCCCAACGGGGTAATACTCGGGAACACACAGAAAGACGCAATACACACTAAAAACGGCCCCAACAAGGTAATGCCCGAGTGTACGGTCCCAACAGGATAATGAAGTTACACTCGGGCTAACTGAGGCCAACGGCCTAGACCTAAAACACAATTACAAACACAAACACAGACACAGACACAGACGACACAAATCAAACAAACAACAATGGAAAAAAACACAAAACAAACTAAAAACTACACAAGCCCTTCCTCCGACACACGCACCAAGAGTATGTCGACGACCTCACAGCTGACCACCAAACAGGCCGAACCACGACTCGGGAAAATGCTCTAGAAACTGCTAAACGCCTAGCCAGACCCTCCCCCAAACCGCAACTCCGAGCCCAGACGGACATCCGCGGTCCGCAGCCGGTGGAACGCCAATCTAATCCCTCCCAGCCGCTGCCTCCCCAACCTCGAACAACACCACTGCTGAAATCGGAGACGCCGCCGGCCGATTAACCCCAGCACCAGGGGAAAGTGACCCGGAGAGATAGAAGCCGACGAACACCACCACGGCCCCCAACAGGAGACCAGAGTCGCGGCCTCCCCTGGTAAGCATCCGACACCACCTCCGTGGCTCACAGAGGCCGAAGACGCCTCCCCGACGGCGTCAAAACTTGGCAAGACCACCAGGTAGCCCTCCTCCTCCTTCACCGCAGCAGCGGACATCAACGAGCCTCCAAGCCCTGCCGGAGGAAGGCACACTAATTAATTGGAGGAAATTGGCCTCTGAAGGAGTGGATCTGATGGAGACGAAAAGGAGATCTGATGTCCGCAGCTACTAGATTAGCAATATTGGTTATAATAATATTTATCCATAAACAAACTTTGCTTTGTTGTTTCATATTTTTTATACTATTTCAAATATAACCTTAAATAATTAAATCAACATGGACAATAACATCATTCAATCAACCGATTCATCCAAATAAATTTCTTTATTTTACTTAAATATACAACTTTATGAAGTAAAAAATATTTTATGGTTAATGTTTTTAACCAGTTAGAATATATTAAGATTATAAATTATATATCTAACCTTATATTATAAATTTAATGATATTTATTAATATATATTTTGTCAAAATTATGCATTAACATNAAAAAAAAAAAAAAAAAAATGTAACGTGCAGACATGTTGCGAGGCTAATGAAGAGGAAATTACTCCAAGAAAATTCCACGCTGACTCCCGCAAAAATTTGGTGTGGGTAAATAGTTTAAACGCGATTTGAAAAATCAGTGTCAGCAACCTACTTGTAGTAGTAAGTTATCAAAGTTTTAAGGCATTTTTTTATTACTATATTAAGTAATTTTTTTACTTTATTATATAATAATAGATTTTTTAGAATATGTTTTTTTAGTTTAAAGTAAATAAACATGCGATGTAATTGACCATTGATCATCTCCTTAGCTACTTTTGTGACCTCGACATTTTCCTCGATCAAGGCATTCCAAGTGGTCATTCATCTTGCCCATGGCAGTGTGAGCATCCTACAAACCTGTCTCCAACAAGTTAAGGAGAGCACTAACAGAACAAACAGGAACCATTGCCGACTACTCAAGGATCATTTATGAAGCTCATGCTTGTCTGGTTTAGGCTAAGCTTATTTTAATGAAAAGTGGCGTGGCGAAAAAAAATCTCCTTAGGCTAGGCTTATTTGTTGAAAAGTTGCATACCACACCAATAAATTGTATGTATGAATACATTATTCCAAAATAAATGCTAGATAGAAAATATATTTATGTCGAAAAAAAAGGAAAATATATTTATTTTTTTAGGTTCCTTGACTGTTAGACAGTTATATTTTATTATTTAAAAAATACATATTTATAATATCAAATGTCACATTTTTATTTATAATAAAATATGAAATATGATATTTGAACATAATATATATATGTGTGTGTATATATATTGAAAAATATGATTGTCTAACTATTAGCCAACTTAATTAAAAAATTGTTGACAAATTATTATTATTAAATAAACCGCGAATATTCGTCATCGATTATCTAACGCAAAGCAAATAAAGTAAGCAAGATTTTGGAAAAAAAAAAAAAGAAAAAAAATAGAAAAAAAAAATCTATAATCTATTATAAGCTCATAATTAATTATCCAAACAAATATCCCTTAATAATTAACTTGCCAAGTAATTATCAACATAAATATCTCTTTATATTCACGTCTATATCAAATCTACTATTCATCTGTATTTACAACTATCAATCTTTATATTTACTATGTCCCTATTACATCAAAAATACACTTTTCTATCAACTCACTTTGTATTAAAAATATTAATAGTTTTTTCATCAATTCTTATTTCTACATTATTATTTATCCAACTCCATCTAACGACATCTATAACTTCAAGAACATATTCAAACGGTGTTTAACAACCCCTTAACAGATTAAATGGTTGCATTTTACAATATATGACAAACACCTGAAAATTTCAACCAAACCCTTTAAAACTATACATAAAACATGCCAGATCAACAGAAATTCTATGGTGCCCATATGGACACCATAAGCCATGCCACAATATGATGTGGCAGATGACGTGGATTTATTAGTTAGATTTATTAATTCCATGACAGATATTAGGTGGCAATGTTACTTTTGTTTAACAAGCTTATCCATCTCTTTTCCTCCACAACCAGGCATCAAACTGAAACTGCATAGTCCAATTACCAGCATATCCTCCATCAGAATCAGAACTCTTAAAAATGTGGCCCTCGACAATCGATATCCAAACAAAAATACAGCACACATTGATTAATTCGCAAGAATGTCTTCGGAAACAAACATCCGGTCAAAAAAATCAAAATGCATCACTATCAGTGCAAAACATAAAGCAGAATAAACAATCCAAATTCATACTGACTATGAAAGTTGCTAAAGAGATCTTGCCAGGAAAAATTACACAAAAGACCCTCTCAGAACCTGTCCAATGAAGGGGGCCTGGCTCCCCTCCTAGAAGGGCGGTCATATGGGCCGGGCCTTTCCCTGTAGCTTCTTCCTGCTTCGTATCGTGTGGGCCCAGCAGCTCCATAACGGTCACAAAAACCTCTTGGGGGCCCATCTCTATCGTAAGCTCTATCTTTGCCATATCCATTCTGAGGGTAACGTTCGGGGGCTCCATACCTATCCACAGGATAGCGGTCTCCAGCTGGGGCGTACCTGATTAGACAATACCCGAAATATCTTAGCAAACAAATTACTAATTGGTTACAACTCAATTGAAAAATAATATTACACATCACATCAACTTTAATTCACTATTCATCAACTCACATAATTTTAACTAACCATCACTTCCAATCATTTTTCTCCTACTTTTACATCACATCAACTTTAATTATTTGATTTTAAATAATATTTTAATTAAAACTTAAATTCCCACTAAACTAACCATACCACCTTTTTTAAAATTAACTATGGTTAAAAAAAAAATCAAATCCATATCCAATCACACCATAAATATGATTGATCCCCAAATTTCCTGTATGGAATCGATTTTAATTTGAAATATACACACATAAACATCCAATCAAGATTTAGCCTAGTTTATCTTTCACTTTTTCCTTAGTCAAATAGTATCNAAAAAAAAAAAAAAGTAACAGCAAATAACCTGTCATTGATAAACCGATCGCGACTTCCATATCTATCATCTCGACTGTCATAACGGTCTCTATCACCACCAATACGACTTTTGTCATATCTATCATCCACAGCATATCTATCACGATAATCTGCATAACGGTCACCATAACTCGAGCGTGGAGGCGAGATCGGACGAGCAATTCGGGCCCCACCAGCTGACGGGCAGTCTCGGGCCCAATGGCCCGGCCTTCCGCATTTGAAACAGTCATCCGGGCCTGCAGACCTATCCCTTCTTCCACCGGAAGAGTAACCTCCATAGCCATGATGACTTGGTGGGTCCTCACCACTCATCTTCGGCTTGGCCTTATTAACTGAAATGGCTCGATCTCCCAACTCTCTGCCGTGCATTTCCCTTATTGCTTCGTCCATCGAGCGACGATCGGCAAATGTAATGAAGCCAAAACCGCGAGGACGGCCAGTACCTCTTTCCAGCACAACCTATATGAAAAATGAAAATAACATTTGAGGATAAAATGGGGAAAAAGAACAGCTGGCTCGTACAAGAACATTAAATGTCGAAGAGATGTATATCTACAGAATCACCATAGACAAAAAATAAAGTGGGGCAAATAGAAAACATGATCAACTAGTCGGATATATTTATATATGGAAAATCTGTCTACTTGAAAATTGCAAAATCCACCATGTCCCAACGGACTTTGACATTCATTAAATTTTCGAATTTATTGGTTCCACAACATGAATTCTTATAATCCACAGGCTTCATAAGGTTTACTGAGCTTACTTACATGTACTTGAAAATTTTTAAGTTCACCAAAAACAAAAAACTTTTTGTCAACTGAGTAGTGATTACAATTTATTGGCTTTTTAAGCAGAAAACCTTGCATTAGATGCATTCCTGCAATCTGAAACACTGTTAAATTAAATTGATCCCCTGTCATAACAGATGATCACAATTCTAATTTATAGACCGAACAAAATTTAGAGAACATGAATAACCTGAAAGTATCCTGATAAGGAAACCGTTTGAAACAACAGACAAAATGGAGTAACGGCAGTTTTCTTTTATCTGGCTCTTTTCCTAACGAAGCCCATTAAATTAAGTTAAGCCACAGAATTTACATTAAATAGCATGCTTATGCAAGGAGCACTTACATGAGTAAAAGAATCTGCAAAAATGCAGATTCCATTATCTGATATGAGTTTCTACTTGAGCCTTGAATTTTCGAGAACAATGACCTTACAGAAATTCATGCAACCAAAAAGGACTGATCTTAACCAGAACACTTATCAGATGGCACTTGATCTTAATTGTATTTCCCTTTACTTGGCAAATTTCTTCCGAGGGTGTAAGCTATTATTGCGTGGTATACCATAAAACGAATCCACCAGTCAATAAATGCTTCAACTCGCAGCTTCAGGAACTCAATGACTAATTTACACATCAGATGCCCTTTCTACACAAAATTACACCTTAAAGGCCTTGCAGCTTTCCAAAACCAGCACTGACCCATGGGCAGCGACGACTATTATTATCCACATGAGCTCATAATATTTTCCAGAATTTACTGCTCTGTCCTTTCCCGAATCTCACTACTTTATATGGCACTTATAAACAGTACTATCAGTAACAGTAACCAAACAAAGAACATACTCAGATAATTTTACAAAAATGATACACTTTTAGATTCGCGCACATCTACATTGTATGAGACACTCTAGGATAGCACACAAGCTAATTAGACATGTGCAATCAAGTTTTAACCCCCTAAGACAGATATCCAAAATTGAGAAGCTAACTTTCAAGGGAAACAAAAGGCTTAATATCATGTCATCACATCATCCTAAAAAGTCATATGGAAATACCCAAACCCCGATAGATGTAGCATAAGAACTGTCAATCTCATAGAAAACATAAAATCGAAGGCAGGCTGATCAATAAATCACCAATCAGAAGCTTTTCGCACAAAGAGCCATCCTTTGCACCGTACAACAACTACGTGCAAACAGCATAACATGCTCAACCCAATTAGCATAGAGACTGAAAGTTATTCGGGAAAATTAAGTGTGAAGCAGTGAAGCTATCAGCCGTCAAGTGCTTTGCAAGCAAGGCTTATTACCCAAATACAAAAAGACACCACCCTACAACTTTGCCAAATCTGAGGATATTCATTTGAATGACTGCCTTCTGCCAACTTCCATGATAACCCTCTCATATGGCTAGTTCCTAAAACACGGGCTTCAAAGCATGTGTAAGGTACAAGGATTCCATTTCTCAATTTAGTCACTCATTAGGCTCATAAATCTAGAAATGGACTGAGTTTTAAGTCTCTGGAAACAAAAGCAACCAGAAGCCTATGCAGGTCAAAAGAAAATAGCAACTGACTTTCTCGATTCCAACTAAACCCACGGAATGGCAACCCCGAGCTCATAGCATGTTTTCCAGACGAATTTGGCAAATGGATGGATCTGCTATCATGAACCACTTGAATTTCTTACGCAGATTACGTATAAGTTCAAATTAGACACAGCAGTCATCCATTCTTCTAGCGTTTCTACAGACCATCTTCCCTTTCACAGCTACGGTTACGTGTGGCTGCAGATACTGATTTGACAAACCCAAACGACTTCCGGCAGGTTGTTTGCTTGATGAAGGTACCAGCGACTTAGACATTTAAACAGTGAGATTGAAGATACATGCGAGCGGAAGGCCTGCCTTCAGACTCAGGAGAGATACTTTTATCAAATGGCAGAAGACTGGTGACAAAATGTTCCGGTCAAAAGGAAAGATTTTACTTACATCCAGAATTAGGAAAAGACTATCAAAAAAAAATAAAAAATCCACTGGATTCGTAGAGGAAAAGGGAAAAAGCTACAGGAAGCAGGCAGTCGGCACTAACAGGGCAAATCCCTACTCAAATCCGAAAATTGCAGATCTTTGATACAAAGAACATGACAAAACAGCTACCAATTGTTATCCAAAACCAACTTTTACTGCATTCCGACTTTACAAGACAAGCGCATTTGCTCTTTTTCTGTCAAAACTGACAAAAACAGCAGCACCATACCAGCACCCAATATCAAACCAACAAATTCGGAAAATCCCCAGAAGAACTGCTAAAAACGTCGTGGATTACTGACTCAGAAAGATCAGCTGAATGAAATCTCAAAAAACACAACAGCATCAGCAGTTCTAAAATCCCAGTGGACCCACTATTCCAATCAAATTGCACGCCATGAATACAGGAGTCAAAAGCACCATAAATCGAAAGGAATTTCAAGAAAATAACTGGTTTTAAAACCTGGCAATCAACAATTTTTCCGAAACGGCTGAAAGCATTATCGAGCTGCCGTTCGGTCACATCCCACGATAAACCTCCTATAAAGAGACGGTTCTCTTGCTCCTTGTCCGCCATCTGACGCACTTCTTCTCTGAAAGAAAACCCTAATTTAGAAGCAATACACAAAAAAATAAATCAAATAATTACAATTTAGAAACAAAGATGAACCAATTGATCTGAAAATGAAGAGAAACTGTTATCGTCGCTTGCAGTGGATAAAAATGAGAGAAATTAGGGTTTTTGTATGTGCGTAAAGTGTGTTTATAACTGAAACAAAGTCCTTTAAAGTTGACCAAACATTTTTATTTGTTTCTTCATAATATAACACAAATATTAGGTTCTCTGGGTCTGTTTAATAATATTAGCTGATATCTTTGTCACAAATATTTATATTTTATTTGAAGGTGTCATATGTAGAAAATAAAAATATGATATTTAATAATATAAATATACTTTTTTTTCAAATAAAATAACGAATTTATTATAAGATTCAATTTTGAGAATTGTATCAATTTAAGATTTGAATTTCAATTTTTCTCAATAGAAAGTTAACATTTTAGATTATTCTCGATTTAGGATTCACTTTTTTATTTAATGTAAGGTCTAAGTAACTTAAATTTTTTATATAAATATGTGAATCATAATATTATGTTTTATAATCTATATTTTACACATTTATAATAAAAGTATTAATAATATTTAACAATTAGCTTAAATGATGAAATTAATTCTTATGAACTAGTTTAATAAATGTTATAGACAAAAAATTGAATAAGAGAATTTAAAAATATAATTTAAATATTGTTTTGACTAATAATGTACATATGTAATAAATTTAAAAAATAAATCAAATATGTAATAAAAATAAAAATTCTAATGTGAAATTATAAAAGAAGGTAACTGACAATTATATTTAAATATTATTTCTTACTTTTATTACATATTGATATTAATAATAATAACAATAATAATAATTCAGTTGTATATTTTTCTATCTCACTTATTCAAATTTTAAAAGAAATCTTTATTAAACTATTACATAAATGTAATTTATATAGATTCATTTTCTTACTAAGGTAATTTTACTAAAGATGTTTATTATTTTTTATTATAAATATGAAAATATAAATTAAATAAAAAATATATTTTTATTCACATAATTATATCATAAAATAAATGTCTTACATTGCGAAGTCCAACATAAGACTAAGGCTATGTTTGGTAAAACTAGCTGATAAGCTGATAGCTGATAAGCTAGCTTAATAGCTTATCATTAATTTTTAAGCTTATAGCTTATAACTTATGACTTATAGCTGGAAAGCTAGTTTATATGATAAAAGTGTTTGGTAAAATTAGCTGATAAGCTAGCTGGAATAAAAAAATCAACTAGCTTATTTGAAAAGCTACCTAAAGAAGCTTATCAAATAAGCTCGACCTTTTTTAAAAAAGTTTGTCCTACCAAACGAGACTTATTTGAATTCAGGGAGCTTATAAGCTAATCAAATAAGCTATAAGCTAGTTTATTTGTTTACCAAACATAGCCTAAGTGTTAAATTGAGAATGACCTAGAATATAAGCTTTATATGTGAAAGAATAAAATTCCTACCTTGAATTGATACAAATAAAAAAAAAAATGGTTTTGTAATGGAATTTTCGCATATAAATAGAATATGTTCAACCAATTCAATTTTAACAAACATAAGATTAACCACTAAACTGAGAATAACCTAAAAATGTAATTCTTAAATTGAGAATGTATAAATTCAGACAGTGAATTGATACAATTCAAAAAAAAGATGGCCTCGTAGTGGAGTTTCCAGAGTATGTTAAACCAACATAATGATTGATATAATACTATGGTTTCGCAAATAGAATTGATTATTTATGTATTGAATACCAAAGAAAAAAAAATCATCCATCAGTTAATATTTTTCGAATAGTTGCAAACAATATAAAAAAAATAATAGCATTGGAAGAATTATTAATTTAACTCAAGAGTTGGATTTTAACAGGTGTCAAGTGTTCTCAAGAAAAAGTTAGTCGAGCTCGTATGAAAACACACTCACACACACAACTAGCTCAACATGTAAATTCATTTTGTTCTAGCTAGTGGTGATTGGTACAAGATAAAAAAGTGAAAATTTTTGTAGCATTATGCAGTAAAATATTTTAGAATTCATCTAAAACAAAATTCTTCAAATGCAGTAAATTTTGTGTTCTCTGGCAGGCCAAAGAAAAATGCTAGGAAGAAAGAAGAAAGTGAAATGAAGGGGACAACAAGTTCCAAGGCTTCCAAAAAAGGGGTAAAATTGAGGAAAAAAGGAGCCACNATAAAATAAAATAAAAATAAAAATAAAAAGAAGAAGAAGAAGAAGAAGAAGAAGAAGAACCATTATGACCTACAGTGGTTATGGAGGACAAAATCACAACATCAGGGATGCCACTTGAATAGAAAAAATGAGACTGAAAATGATCCAAAGTCCAACGAAGAACATGTCAGTGAACAGTTTGTCCATGTTACTCCACATGTTTACTTTATTTTTTATTTATTTTTTATTTGGATCAACTATTGACATTATTTTTGTTACTCAACCAAGGAGTACAAAGAGGCAACAATCTAACCTAACTGAACAACATAAAGATGATCCTACTTAGGTGTTTTTACTTTATTAATTTTTCAGTCCTCATTTTTTGGACAATCTTATCAATATATCCTACTAACTTAATTACTAGGAAAACCAACCAAGAAGAAGTCTAAGGATACAAAAGTCTAACTCAAAAGAATAAGAGGCTTCTCTTCAGGTATGTATTCATTTTATCTACTCGTTATAGTATGGTATACCAATATTTCATACTGAGTCCAAGGATAATAATATTTTTGTCACAATAACTAGCCAAAAAGGAGTCCAAGGCTACATAAGTGCTCCATTAGTGTCGTACAAACTGTCCTACACAGGTACATGTTTGGTTGGTTGTTGTGCTGGCATGTCAGTTATGTTTTTCTTTATTGAGCAGAGATTGCTTTTCATGCCAAGAAGAAATTGTTCTCCCAGGTTGATGATCAAGCCTCCTATTGTGGAAAGAAATAAAAAAACACTAGGTCTCTCAAGAAAATTAAATGTAAAACAACATTACTTCATATGCTTAATATTTCATAATTTGTCTAATATTGTTTTCAATACCATGCATGTTTCCAAAAAGCCATCATATAGTCAGCCCATTGATATGGGCACCCAACAAAGAATCTTCAGAAGTTGACAAGGAAAGAAAACCATAAGTAGACCAAAATAGAGTGTTGCCATTAATCTCATTCCAGTTACAACTCCATTTACAGGTCCTGACAGGGTCTTCCCTGCAACAAAGAGTGCTTACATCTCCAACTCCAAAGGAACTAATATTTTCAGTCAATAAGGTGGACCACCCAATTCTATTCCAGTGTGACTTGGAGATGATGTTTGTGGAAGGAATGTAATGAACAATGAATGTTTTTGTGATACCGGATGATTGGATATATGAACAATGAATGTTTTAGGATGATGATGTATTGTTTTGTTAAGCAATGAAAAAAGAGTGTTATGAACATGAGTAAGAGAATAAATTGGATGTTTTTGTATGAACATGAACACCTTTTGGTTAAGTAACTAATAAAGAAGAATGTTGTGTTTGTACTATTTGTGTACTCAGTTGAATTTAAATAACTTATAGCTCTTATGAATCACCAATGTATTAGATGGAAAAAAAAGTAGCATTCATTCAACCATAACCAAAAAAGTTCACTTGATAAAAAACCAGCATTCATTCAACCATAACCAAAAGAGCAAACTTGATCAAAAACTAGCATTCATTCAACCATAACACAAAACTAGCATTCATTCAACCATGGAAAAAAAAAAAAAGCATTCATTCAGTCATAGTACATTGCAAACGTGATCAAATACATAATCGGCTACTTCATCATGGTACATAATATGCCATTACTTGCTAAAATACACCACAATCCAAGATACAAGTAAAACAAACAACAACGGTTTCTCCAAGTAAAACAAACAACAACGGTTTCTCCCTAAAATTCTTGCATCTTATTTTGACCTCAAGATGATCCACTCTTTTACGCAATCCGGGTGTTAATTGTCGAAACCTTATGCACATTGGTGGATCAATCCAAATGAAATATGTACAACCACCCAATTCCTAAAAAAGAAAACAAAAATAAAGGAAGAAAGAAAGAATGAAATCAAACCAAGTTACCATCTTTTACATTCAATAGCCATCAACAATAAGAACTCAATAAAAGATAAGAACATTAGAACCTAATTTTAGGAACCCTAATTTTTAAAAACCCTAATTTTAGCCCTAGTTGTAAATTCACAAAATCAAATAAGTAAAAGTCAATTTTCATTGTTCGACCGAGTGGACAATTCGACCAAAGCAATAATTTTGAGAACCAATTTCATAATTTTAGGAATTTAGGTTGTAGGAAACGTGCAACAAAATTTCCTACCCTATGTTTTACATGTCGAGTACCTTGGACTCGCGTTAAAATCAGTCTGACATGTCTTCTTCACAGCGTTGTTACTACAATTGCAAAAACTATCAACGATTAATTCAGCAATTTAGCTCCACATTTTGTTGGTAATTTATTGTTCCATTTGGAGGGAATAAATGAAGAAATAGGCCGATTTCCTCAAATTTAGAGTTTTGTATTCAAATATGTGCTTTACACGTGCTTTCTCCGGTGCAAAAATTAGCGGAACATTATATTAGGAGGTAATATGTTAATTTCGATTGCTACAAGATACAAATTGTCAAGAAAAAATTCGCAAGACAAACTCTAAAATAAACATATTTTTTTTAAAAAAAATCCCAATATATATAGGAGACTAGTAGGAGTGAAAAAAGGCAATCTTTGCTTGTTAAATATACAAGTGAACATCAATTGATTTCTTTAAAAAAAAAAGAAAAAAGAAAAAAAAAGGAGAAATGTCACGCAAAAGGAATTACAGCGACGACGAAGAGGACGACACCTTCTTCTACCGCTACTCCTCCGCCGCGCCGCCGCCGCCTCCATCCACATCGAAACCCTCCCGCGGTAGCGGAGGAAGCTCGGGCAGCGGCGGATTAGCCCCCTCCAAATCGACTGTCTACGTCAGCAACGTCGACTACAACCTCACCAATTCCGATCTCCACACCATATTCTCCACCTTCGGCAAGGTCGCCAAGGTCACTGTCCTCAAGGACCGCGCCACGCGCCGGAGCAAGGGCGTGGCCTTCGTCCTATTCGTCAGCCGCGACGACGCCGCCAAGGCCGCCAATGGTATGGACAGAAAGATACTCAACGGCCGGACCCTACATGCCTCGATCGCCACCGACAACGGCCGCGCGGCGGAGTTCATCCGGAAGAAGGTATACAAGGACAAGAGCAGGTGCTACGAGTGCGGCGAGGAAGGACACCTCTCGTACGAGTGCCCGAGGAACTTTCTCGGCCCCAGGGAGCGGCCGGTGGAGAAGAAAGGGCGGAGGAGCGGCGGCGGCGGCGGTGGTGGTGGTAATCGGGGAGGAATTGGAGGGAAGAGCTACGAGTATGGTCCACTGGAGGATGAGGAAGATGGAGACGGTGGTGATTTCGAGACTGAGAATTGGGCATCGGTCGTGGACGGGGAAGATGCTGCTCAGGAGAGGCTGTTGAAGGTTGAGAGAGAGAAAGGAGGTGTGAAGAAGGAGAAGAGGGAGAAGAGGAAAGGGTATTTTAGTGATGAGAGTGATGAGGATGATTGAACTGAGTTTTCGTAGGTTTCTTGAATTCTGAAAAACCGTGAGGTATGACATTTTCTAGATTTATGTTGTCTTCGATGAATTGTGAAGTTTGTTTGATCTTTGATTGTTAATTTGATTATTTCTTTGATAGTATGGTGCTCGTAGCTTGTAATTGTGTTTGCCCATAATTTCATTGTTTGACTATGGAAATCGTGCTTTTTTTTGCTGTTTCGTGTGTTGGTCTATAACATATGAATGGCTGGTTGGAAATTCTGTTCTTGCAATATATAGTAGAAAATTCTATACTTGCAAGAAGAAACTTGAGCGGCTTACACATGGTTGGTTTGGGTAAGTGGTAATTTGTTGGGATTATCATAATTTGTCCTAGTTGAGATGACAAACTTGTTAGATAGCTCTTGCATTTTCTAAGGAAGGTTATAGATGACAGCCTTAGTGATGAGACCAATGGAAGTTTTGCTTGAGATATTTGAACAGGTCCAATATCCTTGAGAAAAACTAGGTGTACTTCTCATCACGAAAATATGTTGGTTGACAATATACATGTGTAAGGGATATTCACCCAAACTCTCCCTGAGGTTGTGGTAACAAAGAAATCGAAAAGAAGTTTCAAAATTACGATAGAGAAAACTGTTGAGGTTTGATTCCAAATCCCCATCACATTTATAGTGTATAGCTAGCTACCCCTTGAAGTTAAGATAGAATCAAATCTCAAGGAGGTGTTTACTTACACACTTTGAAGTGGCTTTTGTTCCTATCCCAACATAAATTACAAAGGCCAAGTATCTTTCACATGTGGTCATTTGCCAATATTACCTCTGGTGTAGGTCATCATGTTACAGCATAGCATAACTTAGATGTTGACATTTCATTTTTGAATTATATATCTGTGCGATATAGTTCACTATTGTATGACACGATGGTTTCTGTGTTTCAGGTGCAGTGTAATACGGTCGAACTCAAAATTTATAGAGAAGATAGAAGCTGTTTGATTTTCCGACCAATGAGAACCCTACATTATCATTGAAAATGCAACGAGCACCTTGTATGATTTGACAAATTTATCAATTTCGTCTTCCGAATGGTATGTGGATTATAGATGGATGTGCAGAACCGGCACCTTGTATGATTTGACAAATTTATCAATTTCGTCTTTTGAATGGTATGTGGATTGTAGATGGATGTGCAGAACCTTAGTGTCTGTCCAATATATATATATATTTAGCATTAGCCAACATTTTTATGTCCTATATAAGTTTGAGGTTTTCTGGATACAATGTGTCTAGTTGTTAGAGCTCTATTCAACATGAAATTTGACTTCACCATCCTGATCCGTGTCCAAAATGTGAAATTTGATTTCACCATTTGATCCATGTCTGAATTCATGATTATTATCCTTCGGAAATGCAGGATTATAAGCCCTAATACAATCAAGATTCTAGTGGATTGTACATTTACGCTTCGCCGAAATGTGTGAAAGTTCAGTCATGTAGGATTGGTTCAGTTGTTAGATTTGGCTCCCCAAGTTAATCATATCTCATTTTTATTAATGGTGAGATTAGTTTTGCAACAAAAAAATCGCACATTCTGGATCAAGTATAGGCGTTAAAGTTTTCAACAAGCTACTGCTACATATATTTCATTAGAAATTGATGATCTTTTATCGATCCCCAAGAGGACTCGGACTCGGTTGACACCGGGAAGGCTTCGGCCAGAACCTAGATCGGGAGACTCTTTTTTCTAGCCAATATTTTCGAGAGCCATTTATGACTATTTGAAATTGCTCTTTTTTGAGTGGATAGAACATTTAAGGCCTATCTTTACAAGTCTTGACCAAAATTTATGACCTATTTCATCAGCTCTGCAGTGGTTGACCTTTTAAAAGGAGGCAAATTAGACTAAAAGAGGTAACTCAATTAGTAGCCTCGAGTTGGGGGTACGAGTCAAGTAGAGAACCATTATTGATCGTCTTTTTTTTTTAAGAAAAAAGAAGGCATAGTAAACTTTCAGGAGAACATATCCCAATAAATTAAGACCTTAGCTAGATATGTCCACGCTCGTGCAATTATTAAGCCATGAATACACCAAGTGAGACGTCATTAGCAAGAATAATCTCACAAAGCCACTCTGTTTGAGAGGCTAAAACTAAATAAAAAGAAAATGAAAAAAAAAAACAATTAACAGCCAACATATATCCCTGAATCCTTCCAGTCCAAGTCGCCTTAGGAACTGGTAATGTAAATTAAAAATAGAACTTTACCACAAAATTTAGAAGATAATCACATCTGACATAAATTAGATATCTATAATCCAACTTGCATCAAGCTATACAGATCACAATGGTTGCAATTATAAGGTTTACAGATTCCCCTAAATAAGACATATACTTGCAATTGCGATACAGCATTTGTGTACTTGAGTCAGTTATGCGTTTCTGAAAAGATGCAACCGAAACCGACAATCAGCTGAGGCCGAAAAACATTCCTCCAATCTCTCTCCAGAGTTAATTTGCAACTCAGAGTCTCTCGAGTTCAATTTCTATCCTTGGTTGGAACAAATAAGTAATTCACTAAAGCCGGGTTATTTCTTTCAAATCGAGCATTTCAAAGGGCCGTGTGAATTCAGGATCAACTTTTCCAACCCAGTACCCTCAGATTAGCCTGAGTTAGTTCAATATGTTTCCCTAGCCTGTCGAAGATAAGAAAGTAACACGTCCCATATATATGATTAAGATTAGGAGAAGTGCATAAATGTGTTTGTTCAAAGAAAGGTGGTGGA